TAGAGCCCCCCGAGGGCCCGTGGGGCAGCCGCAGTGCGCTCGGCCCCCGCAGGCCAAGGAACGGGGGGTGGGACCCACGGGGACGGGATTAGACCCAGCCGGGCAGGGAGGGGAAGGGATCCCCCGTCACCACACTGTGCCAAAGCTGCTTTGCTTCCTTCCCCTTGGCCGCTGCTTCGGGGGGTAGGAGCGCTGTGGGTCGCCCACCCTCCTGCGCTGGGGGGTAGCCCACTGCCCCACCCTGGCCCCCTCTTGCAGGCTCCAGCCACCAAGGAGACACCAACTCATGCGTGTGGCTTAACTTTTTATTTCACACTCACGCCTGCCCCAGTGCCCTGGCAGCAGGTGGGGCTACTGATGCGGAAAGGGGGAGAAGTGGGGTCCTAGCCCCACCGAGCCCTCCGGTTCTCTTCCCTCCCCACTAATCATGTCAGGTTGGACAAGCGGTTTCTGGAGCCCCGGCTTCCTGGGCAGCCTTGAAAACTCATGCGTGTGGCTTAACTTTTTATTTCACACTCACGCCTGCCCCAGTGCCCTGGCAGCAGGTGGGGCTACTGATGCGGAAAGGGGGAGAAGTGGGGTCCTAGCCCCACCGAGCCCTCCGGTTCTCTTCCCTCCCCACTAATCATGTCAGGTTGGACAAGCGGTTTCTGGAGCCCCGGCTTCCTGGGCAGCCTTGAAACCGACAAATCCAATCTTCTCTCCTACAGCTCCAGCTGGAAGGCAGGGCCTGGGAGGTGCCAGGGGGTGGGGGGGTAATTTATTGGGGGTCAAGCCCCGCTTAACAGTGTTGGGGGGGTAGGAGGGCTTTTTTTTTTGCTCTGTACCAGAACTATGTAAAAAATAAAATTTTATATAGTAGTGCGGCTGCAGGTGCTGGAGGGAGGATCCAGACTCCTGGGGGGGGTGCTCCCCTTCCCCCACAGACTGTGCTTGTGGGGTGCCCCCTTTCCCCCCACAGCAGGGACTGGAGGGGCGCCAGGTAGCAGCTTTATTCCACACCATTATTTCCAAATGAGGGGGCGCCGTGGGTCACAGCAGCAGGCCCCCACCGCTGTATTCCATGCGCTGCAAGGAGAAGGGAGAGGAGGGGCAGCGGGTG